CACAGAAGAAGGCCTGGGGAAGGCCGGGCTCAGGAAGTGTGAGGGCCAGGGTCTGTCTCCTGAGGAGCTAGACCGGGGCTCAGGGCAATGGGTTGGAGCCAGGGGCAACAGGAGGGCGCAGGCACCTTGTGGCAGAGGAAGCTGCAGCCGGCCACTCGGAAGCAGACGTCAGGGCAGCTGTTGAAGCCATCAGGACAAGGGAAGGGCAGCTCCCAAAGATCACCCTGGGGTATAGAAGAGTGTGACCCCATCAGAGCAGTTGTTCACAGAAGTGAATGACTAGGTTCAGAAAAGGGAAGTAACTGGTCCAAGGCCACACAAGAAATTGAGCCCAAGTATCTGGGCTGCCTGTCACAGCCTGCCATCCCAAAATGCCCCTCCTGCCCACCAGCCCCGCACCTACTCGGAGCTCAGGGGGCAGGGCACAGTCAGCCAGCAGCGCCATGTCCTCCCGGAGGCGGGGGTCTGCAGGTGGGGGCTCGATGGTCAGCACCTTCACACACGTGCCTGGCTTAGACACCACTACAGGGGAAGAACAACTTCAGGGAGCCAGGCCAGCCCTACCAGGCGGCACCCATGGCCCCGGGCCCCAAAACCTGCTCGCACCAAACTCAGACACCTTCTCGCACTTGGCCTCCAGGTCGCTGAGCAGGTCCCACAGCTGGCACTGCTTGGCCAGGCGTTCACAGTCACTCACATGCTCTACACCAATGTCCAGGCGGCCTGGGGGCAGTGGGGAGGATGAGGGCCTGCGGGACCTGAGCTGTCATCAGGCCCACAGAAAAACAGTGATCCCCTCCCACCTGGCCACCTGGCCGCAGGGCTAGGACTCCTGGACCCACTTGCCACCTTGGTTTCCCCATCAAGAGCTGCTGCCTGAGTTCTACAGGCCCCAGGGAACAGACGGGAAAAGCTCAGCATATGGGTGGGACAAGCTCTTCCTGAGCAGACACACTAGTCCTCTCTTGCAACCCAACGCGAGGGGCAGCTGGAACCACCCTGGGGGACCATGAAGTGTCTAGAGGTTAAAGGTCAGCCCAGCGACACCTAGGTGTACTGCTGTCCAGAAGGACAGCCCACTCCCTCTCCTCCTACTCTGGACCCAGGGGGTCACCTGTGTACAGGTACTGCAGCAGGGCCCCAAAGGCCACAGGGTTGATCTGTGGGCAGAAAGCCAGAAAGGAATGTCAGAGGCAGCCACCCAGCACAACCCCCTGCTGTTCCTGGGCAGTCCATGCCCCTCTGCCACCCTGAAGGGACATACCAGTGGGTGCCTGAGAACCACGACACTCTTGCCCTTCCATTTGGTGTCCAGCATGTTAGCAAAGTAGGCACTGCGTGCACCCAGGACGCAGCGATGCACCCGGAATGGCTTTCCGTGTACTACAAAGACCACATCACTGTGGATGCCCTGCTCTAGAAGCCTGGGGAGGGACAAGCCGGGAGGGAGGATGCTTGGCACAGCCCCCACCCCACTCCTTGAAGCACCCAGAGCCCAGGGCAGGCCACAGAGCAGACCCCTCCACACTCACCACGGCCACCGTACCCCATGCTGCACCCCTCGTGTGCCCTGACTCACCGCTGCAAGAAGTCATCATAGTAATCCCGCCTCCTGCAGGAAGCTGTGACCTGCTTGTAATCGCGTAGAGCCCGGCGGATGGGGTCACTCAGTGCCCCATAGAGGCAGCGCTCACCATCGAAGGTGTTGGCCTCACAGCGGGCTCCTGGGGGATGCAGCACTCACCAGTTAGCAGGGAAGGGGCCTGGGGAAATTCTAATCTCCCTCTCCCTCCTCCCCACCTTCCCACACATGGTGCTCCAAATCTCTGGCAATGCCTTCCCAAATTACCCTGGGCCCACTCTGACCCAACATCCTCCCAGTCAAGGGCTAGACGAATGGGCATGTCTGTGCGCACTCACACAGGCACATACTCGCTCACACGGAAGACAAGACTACACAGAACAGAGAGCAGACTCGGTGGCTGGGCTTGTCCCACACACTGGAGCACAGCAGTGAACGAGACACAGGTCCCTGTCCTGCTGAACTTATACTCTAGTGAGGCAGGACAATGAACGCACTACCTAACGATGGCAGGGACTAATTAAGAAAAACAAGGCTGGGCATGGCGACTCACACCTATAATCCAGGCACTTTTCGAGGCCAAGGTAGGTGGATCGCTTGAGCTCAGGAGTTTGAGACCAACCTGAGCAACATAGTGAGACTCCGTCTCTGCAAAAAAAAAAAAAAAAATACAAAAACTTGCCAGGCCCGGTGGCACACGCCTGTAGTCCCAGCTATTGGAAGATTTGAAGGGGCTGAGGTAGGAGGATCACTTGAGCCTGGGAGGTTAAGGCTGCAGTGAGCCGAGATCACACCACTACATTCCAGCCTGGGTGACAGAGCAAGTCTCTGTCTCCAAAAAAAAAAAAAAAAAAAGAAAAAGAAAACCAAAATAGGATGAAGAATGGCACTGGATGAAGGAAAGTAATGAAAGGTCACTTTGTGATGGTGGCAGCATGCAGAGACCTGAATGAAGTGGGGGAGTGGGCCATGTGAATGTCTGCAGAAGGGCAGTCCATGCAGGAGGAACAGCAGGTGCAAAGGCCCTGGGGCAGGAACAGGCGCATGCGTAGCACAGTGAAGCCCCAGTGAGGCCAGTATAGCAGCAAGCAAGCAAAGAGAGCCGAGGGAGTGAGGCCAGCAGGAGGGCAAACCCTGTGGAGCCTTGGGCATGGCCAGGCAGGCTCACTGTGTCCTAGAGGCAGTGGGAACTCGCTAGAGGATTTTTAGCCACTCAGATTCATTGTGAAAAGAGGGAGATTAGAATTAGAACTTGGCTGCAATGGCAAGAGAGGAGGCAGGCACTGTGCCCGGGGAGAAATGCTGATGACTGGACCCAGGTCATAGAAGTAGAGATGGGGAGGGTGGACAGAGAAAAGGTTTTAAAGTAGCGCTAACAGTACTTGCTGATTCTACTGAGTGGTAAGAGAGGAATCGTGGTGCTTTGCAAATGTGTATGAAGACCCAGTGCTGGGGCTGGACCTTTGGCCTTTCAGCGTTTGGGAGAGGAGGTGATGGAGCCTTCACTCCCACCAGAGCTCTCTACTGCAGGAAGAAGCTGGCCCTGCTAGAAGCAGGGAGCCGGGGGAAAAGCTGCACACATGCATGCATGCACCCACGCACACCCCTGAGCCCGGCTCCCTGCTCTCACCATTGGCCAGAAGGTAGAGTACCAGCTCCTCGTGCCCACACAAGCAGGCATAGTACCTGAAGGGAGGGAACAAGTCCTCAGCGCTGAAGGGGTACACCAACCCCCACCCTCTGCACCCCTCTCCCCAGCACTCACAAGGGGGTGCTGTCCCACTTGTCCCGCACATTCACCTCCACGTCTCGCTGCTCCAGCAGGTACCTGGGCAGGAAGGAGGTCAGAGCCTGGGTCAGGACGGGTTCATGGTCTGAGAAAGAAGGCCCGTGGAAGGGAGCGGAGGGAAAACATCCCTTTTGGTCTGGGGAAGCCACCCCCAGGTAAGGGCAGGTGACAGGCAGATCACAGCAGGAGAGGCACTAGAGGCAAAGTGCAGGCAAGGGTGTGGAGGTGGGGTCGGACAGGCAGACAGTGTGTGCCATCAGTGCTGGGGGACGATGGGCTACAGGGGCAGAGGCCAGCGCCAGTGCTGGGGCTGGACCTTTGACCTTGCAGCGTTTGGGAGAGAGAGGAGGTGATGGAGCCTTCGCTCCCACCAGAGCTCTCTACTGCAGGAAGAAGCTGGCCCTGCTAGAAGCAGGGAGCCCGGGGAAAAGCTGCTGCAGGCCTCCTGGTGGTGTGGAGGGCACATAATTCTAGAAGGCAGGAGTAGCGGGATACAGCAACTGATGGGATGCGGAAGGTGAGCAAGGGGAGTCGCCAACGCTAGTGTAGCCCCACCAAGGTGGGGGCAGCCCGAGGGAGGCCTCCAGGCTGCACCTGGAAGCACCGTTGACACTATGCATTAACTCTTGAGTGGCACGGGATGTTGGGGAGGGGCCCAGGGATTCTACGGGAGTACAGCAGCCTGGGGCCAGCCCAGGGGAGGTGGAAGTAGTCAATCAGCACCAGGTCAAGGGGGAGGAGGGGCCAAGGAAAAAGGAGGTCAAACGGAATAGTGGAAGGCCAAGGAGGGGAAGGGCCCCAGAACCCAACTGGGCACCCCTTCCCTCCGCGTCCAGCCCATGGAGGTGCCATCTCAGCGCCAGATTCACTTTAGCTGCGTCAGGAGTTTCCGAATCATCAAGGACCGGAGGCCGATTATGGGCTCTAGGTGTTCCCCGCGCCGGTCCAGACAGCATGAGAGTAAGGGGCCACGTCTGGAGTCCCAGACCTATACCCGCGGCCCGCGCCCGGGGGTCTGACGTCCGGGCCCTACCAGGGCTAACAGTGGCCCGCCTTTCTCTCCGCCCACTTCTGCGCCTTCGGGCCTCCGTGGAGCAGTCCCTTCTTCCAGGAAGCCCTCCGGGGGTCAATGGCCATCAGTGTCCCTGCCCCAGCGCGCTTCCGCTGGGGGGCTGCGGCGGGGTCTAGGTGGTCAGCCCCGCGGGGGCGCTCCGAAGGCTTGTGACCCGACCGAGGCGCCCGCCTCTCTCCGCGGCCGTCCAGCCGCACGTCCCAGGTCCCGAGGCGTTCCGAGGGCGCCCCACCTCCCGCACCCTCCCCGGGACTGCGGGGTCCTCACCGCACTCGGCCCACATCCCCCTTCCTGCAGCTGGCGAACAAGTCGCTGGTGTCCATGGCGCTGAGGCTCGTACCCAAGCCGAACGACCTCGGGCGGCGACGCTGCGCACCCGGCGGATGTAAACACGCTCAGCTCAGCCCCGCCCCGCTCCGCAGCGGCGTCCGGAGGACCCGCCCGCCCGGGCCGCCCAGCCCCGCCCTGCGGCCCCGCCCCTGCCCCGGGGTCCCCCGCCCGCCCCGCCCCGCCCCGCCCCGCCCCAACCCCGGAAATAAGAAAAAATCGGGCAGGCAGACGTGCTGAGCCCGGCGTGGTCTCCGGGCAGGTTTAATGGAGTCCTGGGGCGCAGGGAGCGCCGCCCGTCGCCCGCCGCCCGCGGGGCCGGGGTTCAGGGGCAGGAAAGCGGGGCCAAGGCGGGCTCTGAGGCCCGCCCTTCGGGCAGGAGTGAGGGAGTTGGTCCGAGGCCACCGTGTGAAGTCGGGGGAAGCGGGGAGGAGCCCGCGCCGAGGGCCAGGCTGCGGGAGCGGCCCGGGTAGGCGCGGGGCTGGTGCGGGCTCCGGGCCGTCCGTTTCGGGGTCCACCTCGCTTCGTCCTGGCGGCCCACTCGGCCTGCGCCTCGGCTGCGCTCACAGGTGCGTGTCCTCCTCGAACACGTCCGAGTCCTCGGGGTCCCGCTTGCCCCCCATGAGCGCCCCCCAGCTTCCCGGGCCGTTGAGGGCCCCGCCGCCGTTCAGGCTGGGGTGCTTCTCCTGCATCTCCGACTGGCTGTCGCTGGCCACGTCCAGCGTGGGGTTGTCGTGGCAGCCGTTCTCCACGAAACGCAGCTCCTCGCCGTGCGACTGCGGCGGGGTGGGGAGAGGCCGTGGGCGAGCGAGCCGGCCCCCAGACGGCTCCAGGCCTGCGGCCGTCTGTGCAGCCCCACCCAGAGGGTCCCCGCGGCAGCCTCCACAGGTGCCAGATCCTTCTTTTCTGTTGCTGCAGCTCAACTCCTTTCTCAAAATAAATCTACTAATCGTTGGCACTACAGAGCCCCGTGGTCTCCCTGACGTCATCGATACCCCAACAGCCCCCTAAGAAGACTCTACTTGCGAGGTGGGCAGGGGGCATCACTAGGGCACTGCTCTCTTCCTCCTGGGGAGGCCTCCAGGCTGCTGGAGCCTCTCCTTGACCCTTGGGCATCACCAATGCAGGGCCTGTCTCTGGTGAGGTATCCAGGTGCTCAGGCCCTGCAGTGCCTTCCCTGGAAAGGGGCTGGTGGTGCCAGGGAGGGGCCCCTGGTGGGGCTAGCAGCCCCCTCAGTCCCTGCACCTCCAGCACCTGTCCTGGGGCTAGTGCCCTGCAGAGCAGGCAGCAGTGCTAGGCTGACCAGCTGCTTCACCCAAGGGACCCTGTGCTCCCAGGAGAGTCACTGCCTCCCCTTGCAGATGAGGACACCTATCGATGGGCACTCTCCTCTCCACTGGCCCCAAGCCCCACCTGTCCCCACACTCACCACGTGCTTGAGCTTGGGCAGACGGCGCTGCCAGCAGTTGTAGAGCAGGCCAAGCGCAATGATGATGATGCAGATGGCCCCAATGACCACCAGCACCACGAAGAGCGTGCCGTAGTCGCTGCGCACTTGGCTGGCCCGTGCCTGGCAGCTGCTGGTTGTGGAATAGTTCTGGATGCCAATCTGGGGGTAGGAGGGGCCAGGTTCTTCAGCTGAGGTCCTGGGGTGCCATGGCTTCTCTGGGGTGGTTGCATTGGGCTCAGGGGTGGGGATGGGGGAGCAGGCTTAGAAGGTGCTGGCACTCCCGATTCCTGAAGTTCCCTGGGGCCTGGGCTTGCCTTTACCCCATGCTCATCCTGTTCGTCTCAGCACAGCTATAGGCCTCTCCACCCCATGCCCATGTTCCCAGTCTCCTTCACATCCCACCACAGCTTCTGCCCCAACCGCTGAGTGTGACCTCACTGTGGCCGTAGCCCCCCAGTGAGAGTGGACCCATGCTGCTGGACACCATCCAACTAGAGAGATCCCCCACACCTATCCCTAACCAGTTAGAGAGACAAGAAGATGTGAGCCCCCCCACACATCTTCCACCATACGACCGCTTCCACCTTGGTGGGGAGGGGTGGGATAGTCACCTTCCCGATGCCAGGGCCAGTGCAGGGAGGGATACCAAGGGCATGCAGGCCACATGCGTGGCCACCCTGGCTACCCAGCTTCCTCCCTTCCCACGGTGTGTTCACTGCTGGCATGTAGCTGCCTGCACCCCTCCACACTGCAGGTTGTCATGGTCAGTCCTGCCTTCTCTGGCCAAGGAGATCGGTGCCAGGGGCCAGGCAGGTGCTGTCTCCACAGATCAGCATCTCAGCAGAGAGAAGCAGGAAGGCGAGTACCACCAGGGACTCCTCAGGTGAGGGGTCAGGGCATTTCCCAGTGCTGAGGCCTAGATTGCACCAGGCCCCCCTTTCTGAGGCCACGTTGCAGCTCTTCCCTAGTTTCTGTGAACCATCTGTATCTCCAGTACTTTTCTCAATTTTTTGTTATCAAGGGTCAGTTTTTCTTGCTAGATCCACCTGAGTATATTTCCAAAGACCCAGCATGACTTTTGGCTAAGTCAGTCTGAATTAAGTGACCAGTAAGGCCAGAATACTCAGGGGCAGCGAAAAGCAGGGTGAGGACTGTATAAAAGGTCAAGGTTAGCTCACACTTCCACCAGCAGCCCCACTGTTCATGGACCCACGATTCCAGAACTGGGAAGGGCCTCAGTGGCCCTCCAGGCAGTAGAGCAGTGTGGTGAAAGGCCCAGGCTCCGGAATCAGGCTTCCTGCAAAGCCTGGCTCTACTGCTTACCGGAGGTGCCATCTCAGGCAGGTCACCTAACCTCTCCCGCTTCAGGTCTCATCTTCCATGGGGACACCATCGGTACTCAACAGGTGCCCCACTTAACTCTCACAACCCCAAGGGGTGGTGGCGAGGACTGAGGGAGAGAGCCTTGCAGAGTGTGGTGCTCAGTGGGCATTCGACGTGCTCACCAGAAAAGCACCACCACCAGGGCCTCCGCTTTCCTGGCACGCAAGGATGAGGAGGTGGCCAGGATTATACCACTCATCTCTCCTACCAAAAGTGGCAGCACCTTCGGGAGTGGAGAGGGCTGATGACAGGGCACTGGACTCTACAGTGAGCAATGGCAGTTTTGCTGGAGATGGTGGCTGTCCTGAAGAAGCGAGATGAGGAACGGAAGGACCCCACAGGCAAGGTGGTATGAGGAGCAGGAGGACTGGGGACCCTGCCATCCCATCCAAGCTTGTGTGGCAGCTGGGTAGGAGAGGTTGGCCGGGTTGGGCCAGGCAGCCAGCAGACTGCACTGGATGGGGGCACCTCCCAAGATGGCAGGGCTGCCTCCTGGCCCCCAGGTGCCGCATCTCACCGCAGCAGGAGCGCAGAGCCTGGCTGTGCAAGCACCAGCAGACTCACACATCCACGCCAAGTCACATGTCCAGGTCTCCCAGGCTTGCTCTTTTGTTTTCTGGAACCCATAACACTGTCCCCTCCCACCAGGCTGCATGGCGTCTCTGCCACTGTCCACCCGGCTAACTGTCCCAGTTAACCCTCATTGCCCCCCAGACCCTTCCTCTCTGGGCCCTCTCCTGTCAGCCTCTTAGCACAGCCCCCCGCACCCCCATGGCCCCTTTCTGCCCCTGGCCATTGCCTGCATTGCACCATTGGTTGGCAGCATGCACGTGCACCGTCTTTCCCACAAAACCATGTCTAAGGAAGGCCTGAAGCAAGGGACCTGCCCAGAGCACGCTCTGTCTTATGCTCCTTTGAACCTCACGATGTGGGCAGCCTCCTGGGACTTTGAGGAACAGAGACAGGAGGGAGCATATTAGAAGCTAACAGATCCAGGTCCCTGCACTCTTACCTCCTCCAGGCTCCTGCGGATGTCACCCAGCATGGAAAGGACATCTTGAGTGGGCACCACCCCTGGGGGGTAAGAAACACCACTATCAGTGCAGCCATGGCTGAGGTGCCCCTCCAAGGGCTCTGGCCCCGCACTCCAATGGCTGGCCTGAGCCTCTGCCTCCCCTCCTGGCTCAAATTGCACACAGATCCTCAAGGCACACGCCTCCCCCTAGGAGAGGGCTCCTAGACATGCTTTTCACTGCATCGATTTGTTAGAACATCGATTTGTATAATATCAGACAGCCACTTGAGAAGCCCACACACTGCCTTCTGAACACACCCCTTCTCCCCTGCCACACCAGGTACAGTGTCCATTCATCTCCCACCTGTGCTGGACCACACCTCTTCCCCTGCCTCCTGTTGCCATCCTTCATTCTCACACCCGCCTCCTTGTCCCCAGAACCCAAGCTGGTGGGTACACCTTGACCCCTAAACTAAGTAGCTCAAACTACTGTCCTGGAGTTCCAAGTTTCAAAGCCCTTATGCGTGTACTTTTTTCCCATGGCCCTCAGGGGCTGCCTACCTCCCACTGCCCTCCTGGGCCCTCCCATCACCTGCCCTCACTCACCCTGCTCGCCCACCAGTGTCATGAGAAGGTGCTGCTCCTTCTCGCTGGGCTTGCTCAGAGAAATGTGCCAGGCCCCGTGGTGGCCGCTGCCATGGCGGGGCAGCACCTCTTCCACCAGGGCCAGGAGCTGCGGCCCCCGGTGCTGCCGGAACACCTCCTACAAGGGCAGAAAGAGCCCCCCGGGTTCAGTGAAGGAGAGGGGCTCTACTAAGCCCTCTGCCTCTAGGCCCAGCCCCATACTCACCCTCAACCCTCTGGCTGTTCCCAGAGAGGCAGCTCTGGTCAGCTCTGGAGACCCTTTGAGAGCTGCAAGCTGGGGAATGTGGGAACCCCAAGATGTACACCCATTTGTTCACTTACACCAGGTGCTCCTTCCTGCCCTGGCTTCTAGCCATGAGAAAGTCAAGGGGCCCATCCCAGAGACAGATGCAGTTGAGTGGTGCGGGGACACACACACACACACACGCCATGTACAGTGACAAACCCAGAAACTAGGTACACAGAGTGGTAAGGCCTATGGGAGAACTGCTCCCTGTGCCTAGTGCTCAAGTGTGTGGTGCTGGGGATGAACACATGGGAGGGTGGGAGTGGTGATGGACAAAGAGGTGTGCACCATATAACTACCAAAAATCGGGGAGGGGCCAGAAGTGGCAGAACCTGGCTCTCCTCTCGCCTGTCATCACAAGATGCAGCCCCAAGCTGGTGAGTGGGGAAAGCCATCTGTGTGCTCTTGTGTAGGCGGTGGAGGCCAAAAGAGCAAACACAGAGATGGGAACTGGAGCCCCTGGAGCTGGGCTGGGACAGAGGGAGGGGCATGAGGAGACCTTTTCTCATCGCTTGTATTGAGGTTTTCTTGACCATGTATATATATATGTATATATATATATATATATATATGTAATTCCACAATTTAAAACAAAAACAAGAGCCTGGCCTTAAACAGAAACTCAGCGAGTGGCAGGAGCCCAGGCTGGGGTACAGGCCAGAACCCTGCCTCCTGCTTCACGTCCTGCCGTTTGTCCCTGCCCAGCCCCATCTAGGAAGATACCCTCCTTTGGCCCTGTGGCTACTCCTCACTCTGGTTCCTCCCCAGCAGCCTTTTCCCTCCTGAACATGCACAGTTGCACATTCCCTGCTCCTAGCCTCCACAGCCTGCTGCAGATACCTCTCTCCCAGGTGCTCAGCTCTTTCACAGTGCCCTGCTATGCAGCTGAGAGCCAGTGCCACTGGGAGGCACAGGCATCTCACTAGGCCAGCCCTGCAGGATCCCCTGCCACTCCAAATCTCCCTTCTGTTAGAGCCCAGGCTAATGAGCTGTTCCCTAGTTGTCATGCCAACCTAAAGTCTACCAGGGGGATTGAAGTGCTGGGCCTCTGTTCTTTGTTACCATGGCAAATGCCAGGCTCAGGCTCAAGCCTTGGCACTCACTGGTCTAACAGCCAGCCAACTGAGTTCTAAATGTGGGAGAAGATGGGTACCTGGAGATGGCCACAGAGCAGCTAGGAAAGCCCTAGTTCTGTGATGGTTCTTTCTTTCTTCACTGATTGAGTATCGGGGGAGAAGCATGCCCACCTCTGCCGGAGCAAGGGTACGTGCACCATGACCCACAGACCCCCGGTTACAAAACAAGCACTCTCCTGCCACATGAAGTGCCTGCTCTCTGTGCCGCAGCTCTGTGATCTGCTGTGTTTGCACACCCCACATTTTCCTGGGTACATATGTCAGCCTGGCTTAAGCCCAGAGATCCACAACATCAGTGTGGGAGGATCTGATGACTGCAGATGTCATACCACTTACTATGTAGACAGGAAAACTGAATGTCCACGGCAAGGGGGAAAAGCCCTGACTTTGGAATCAAATAAATCTGGGCTCTGGCCAGTGCAGTGGCTCATGTAATCCCAACATCTGGGAGGCCAAGGGAGGTGGATCACTTGAGCCCAGGAGTTCCAACTCCTGCACAGACAACACGGCAAACCCTGTCTCTACAAAAAATGCAAAAAATGTGGTGGTGCACATCTGGGGTCCCAGCTACTTGGGAGGCTGAGGTGGGAGGATCACTTGAGCCTGGGAAGTTGAGGCTGCAGTAAGCTGACATTGTGCCACTGTACTCCAGCCTGGGTGATAAAAATAAATAAATACATTGGTTCAAATCCTGTTTCTGCCATTTGTCAGCTCTCTGTGATGTGAGCAAAAAAAAAAAAAAAAAAAAAGTACCTCTCTGGGCCTCAAAGGCTCAGATCCTTGCATCTCTACAGTAAGGATTTCTTTTGCCTTCTAGAACTCAAAAACACCACCTCTGGATTTACTACTTTATCTTTCTGCCTCCTCTCATAGGTTTCCTTATTAGACTTATCTCCAGTTTCTTCTGTGTTACCTGTGACATCTAGGTAAAATAGAAGCCACTGAGTTTGCATCACTTTCTCTAGATCTTGAGGGCCGAACTCCTGGAACTCCTGTAGTTCTAACGTGTAAAACTTTCCCCAAGAGACTGCCAGCACTTTTCTCCCTGTCTTTTTCTGAATATGTACTCTCTGTATAGCCCATCGTTTTTAATGCACATTTATTCCTATCATTTTTCAAACAAGTCAAGATAATTAAATGCAAAGAAAGGCCGAGGAACTATTCCAGATTAAAGGAGACTAAAGAGACAAGACAATTAATGCAATGCATGACCATGGATTCTATCCCGGACTGGGAGGGAAAAAAATATAAAGGACATTATTGGAAACATGGTGAAATAGAAATAAGGTAGGTGATCAGATAATAGTTTTGTAGCAGTGCTAACTCCTGATTTTGACCATTGCATTGTGGTTATCTAAAATATTCTTGTTCTGAGGAAATACAAACTAATGTATTTGGGGGTAGGGACAAAAGGAAATAATGTCTTCAACTTTTTCTCAAATGGTTTGAAAAAATTCTAACAAGTGATGAATCTGGCAAAGAAACTAACAAATATGTTGATAAAATATAGTAAGCATTGACTGTTAATAATAATGACTAATGCTCAACATCACCAATCATCAGGGAAAATGCAAATCAAAACCACAATGAGATACCATTTAGGTTGGTGCAAAGGTAATTGCAGGTTTTGTCATTACTTTCAATGGTAAAAAGAGCAATTACTTTTGCACCAACCAAATACCTCATTTCCCTCAGGATGGCCACTGTTTAAAACAACAGAAAAGGGCTGGGCACGGTGGGTCACGCCTGTAATCCCAGCACTTTGGGAGGCTGAGGCGGGAGGATCACAAGGTCAGGAGACTGAGACCATCCTGGCTAACACGGTGAAACCCCATCTCTACTAAAACTACAAAAAAAATTAGCTGGGCGAGGTGGCGGGCGCCTGTAGTCCCAGCTACTCAGGAGGCTGAGGCAGGAGAATGGCGTGAACCCAGGAGGTGGAGGTTGCAGTAAGCTGAGATCGCACCACTGCACTCCAGACTGGGCGACAGAGCAAGACTCCATCTCAAAACAAAACAAACAAACAAAAAAAACCAGAAAAGAACAAGTGTTTATGAGGATGTGGAAACACTGGAACCCTAGTGCTGGTGAAAATGTAAAATGGTATAGTCATAGCGAAAAGCAGTATGGAGAGTCCTCAAAAAAATTAAAAATAGAATTACCACATGATCCACCAACCCCACTTCTGAGTATATACACAAAAGAATTAAAAACAGAGTCTTGAAGAGATATTTGCACAGCACATTCCCAGCAGCACTATTCACAACAGCCAAAAGAGGGAAGCAACTCAAGTGTCCGTGGACAGCTGTGTGGATAAATAACGTGGCATATACATACAATGGAATATTTTTCAGCCTTAAGAAGAAAATTCTGCCACATGCTACCAAATGGATGTACCCTGAGGACATTATGCTGAGTGAAATGAGCCAGATGTAAAATGACAAATGCTGTCTGATTCCACTTTTATTAGGTATCCAGAGTAGTCCCATTCATAGAAACCAAAAGGAGAATGGTGGGTGCCGGGGCTGGGGAACAGATAGTCATTTAATGGGTACAGAGTTTCAGCTTTGAAAATGAAAAAGTTCTGGGGCTCGGTTCCACAACAATGTACATATACTTAACACAACTGAACTTATACTTACAAAGGGTGAAATGGGAAATTTTATGTTTTTTACTACAATAAAAAAAAATCTACCATAAAAAATAATGACTGAGTCACATAATAGAATAGCACAGAAGACAAAAACAGGGAAAACAGAATAAAAGCATCTTAATATCTATGTATTGATTGGAAAAAAGATATGAACTTTAGGCTATATTGTTCAAATACGCACAATATGCCCAAGGGTCCCAAGTACCCATACTGTGGTCTTTATGTACGTACCATTTCCCAATGAAGGGAATGAGAGGGCTCCATGTCTAGGGAGGAAGATGAGCCTGGAATGTCTTATTATTCCAGAAAGCAAGGAGGCAATCAGACACTTAATAGATTGGTCAAAAGGACTCAGAGGTCAACTCAAAGAGGCTTTCCCTGACCAAAGATGAGGTATTGAGCATCAGTAAAAATAATAACTGCAATGGATGAAAACACACATCACTTAGGTGAAGATCCATCAGTATAGTCATGGTGGGGGAAACCAACCTTGCTGGGGACTTTTGGATTAAATGCATGTATGTCCCTTCAGTCTTGCCCAGGCCCACTAACAAGAGTAAAGAATTTAAGGCCTAAAACCACAGAGACAAAGTAAAACAGAAGAGGAGACAAGAGCAACAAAATCTAGACACTGGAAGCAGATGGGTGAGTTAGAATTTCCTAATTTAGCAAACTCTAAAGAGCCAAACCCTAAGCCAAAATGAGGAAAGCTGAGAAGCAGTCAGATGCATACTGATTGACACTCCCCAGATGCCCTGGAATAGGGGCCCTGGTTACCTTTGGAAGAGGGGATGAAAATGCTACTAAAAATATAAACTGGTCAAAAGTTTGCTTAAGAAACGGCTGGGTCCCTAGTTCTTCCTGCAATGCTGCACAGCCAAGAAATGTCCCTTCTCCCTGGCAGAAGACTGGAAGTTTATTCTTTAAAAAGGATAAAACAGAGGGTCTCTGACCCAGAGAGCATCAGACACAAGTGTGTGTTTTGGGGAGGGAAAAGGTCACGCTGCAAACAGGAAGAGACAGTACATGAATATTGATATTTATGGATACATATTTATAATACTGAAACACCCAGCCCTCTCTCTCCACCCTGGCTCCCAGAACACTGACAACCAACTTGTTATACTTCCAACAGAACAGAAGTTCCCTTTTCAAAGACTAATCACCTCAGGAGGAAGGCCCTAACAATGCTGCCATTACAAATTTCTAAGTGATACGGCCTAGCCAGACCACTCATGAGAAGCCGTAGCTGACAAACCCTAGCACCATGCTCAAAGCTTCCAGCCAGTTTTTTGATAGAGAAAGCTGTGAACAAACTCCACCAGACATGTGTGGAGAGCATGTATATATATGAAAAGGCTGAGACCCAAAACGGAGAAAAGCAACCTATACAGGAAGAAAACAACTCTAAAAAAGACAGAAAGGTTTCAATATCACTGGAGAAATAAGATAGTGCACACATGAACAAAGTATTCGTTTAAATTAAAAAGAGAGGGAGGCAAGAACCAAAGAGCCTTCGTAAATTTTAAAATACAAAAGCTCTCTGTGTGTAATGTTGGTGGCTGCTGGTATATCCCTGGGCCACCAACTGAAGAACTAAGCCTCCTCCCGTGCACTGCTTGTCCCCACAGCCTTGGGACCCCCCACCCTGCCCACTGCCTGCAGCCTTTCCCTGCGGTTCGGAGCCTGGCTGGGCACTCACACAGTCTATGTTCTCTGTCATGTTCAGAATGATGTAGTTTTTCCCAGCCAGATTGCTCCAGTCCTTGCAGATCACCTGTGTGAGGAGACAGAAAGCAGGGCGACAGTTACGAAGACATAGGAAAGGCACGGGGGAAAGAGCCCCGGTCGGAGGCCCTCTGGGAAGCTGGAAGGTGGAGGCCAGCAGAAGCGTATTACAGCGAGGGGCTGCTGACAGCCTCTGTGAGGCACCATGCCGAGGAGTACAAACTCGAATGTCTTTGGGGACCAAGCAGGGAATGTGTTGAGTGAGAGCAGGAGGCCAGGCATTATTCCCAGGAAAAAGGGGGCTATATCAAAGGGGCCAGGCTGCAGAGAGCTTGCCCCACATGCTGGCTTTCAAGGGCAAGTTTATCGTTAATATTCTGGGGCTCCTTTCCTTTCCTTGCGGTGTCAGTGGGTGTGAACACTGACTTGTGCCTGCTGTGCACGTGGGTGTCGGTGGGGAGAAGGAGGGTGGTGAGATGGGATGGGGAAAGCACAGGTCAGCCACTAGCTCTAGCTGCTGGTAGAATCAGTCTAAGGGTGGGCTGGGCGCAGTAGCTAATGTCTGTAATCCCCGCACTTTGGGAGGCCAAAGCGGGTGGATCACTTGAAGTCAGGAGTTCCCGACCAGCCTAGCCAACATGGTGAAACCTCGCCTCCACTAAAAATACAAAAATTAGCCAGGCATGGTGGCACACGCCTGTAATCCCAGCTACTCAAGAGGCTGAGTTACGAGAATTGCTTGAACCTGGGAGGTGGAGGATGCAGTGAACCGAGATCGTGGCCACTGCACTCCAGCCTGGGCGACAGAGTGAGACTCCATCTTGGAAAAAAAAAAAACAAAAGAAGTCTAAGGGTGGTAGTGGTAACACCTGAACAAATGAAACCCAGGCCAGGCCACCAAGCTTCTCCGAAGGCCTTTGTAGAGAAGTGTGGGGAGAACACCCATTGTTGGCCCTGAGGTTTGCATCCCCACAAGTTCCATGGGGATCTACATGCCATGGAAAGGGCCTCCCTCCTCAACCTGGCAGATCCTGCCCCCATGCCACACCAGCCCTGGGGATGGCCAGGCTCCGTGAAGAAGGTGCGGGGTGGTGGCCCGCATGCCCCTCACTTTACCTGCGTAGAATCCCAGGGTATTCTGGATTGAGCTTCAGCTGCCTGCCCTTCTAGGAGCTGCTGGTTGAGATCTTCTTGCCCCAAGGTAGCAGAGGAAGGTGTCAGTTTCACGTCTCCAGGGGCCAGTGGGAAAGAGGCTGAGGTTCTAGAGCCAAGGGGATCTTCATCTGGGTGCTCGGCCCCACCGGGAGCTGTGGTTTGAGGGAATGAAGGCGAGGCCGGCACCTCCTCCTGCTGGCCAGACAAACCAGCTGCTCCCACAGTGACTTCCTCGCTTGCTTCCTGAGGAGCCTCGAACTCTACCCCAAGCCCTGCAGCTGGCAGCACTGTGGCCTCCACCTCCTGGCTGGTGGAGTCCTGGTCCCCCAGAGTCACTGTAGTTGGGGTGACTGAAGGCAGCAGCAAGCTGGGCCCCATGCTGCTCTCTACCTCCACACCTGATGAGGCCTGGTCCCCAGAGTCTTCATGCTTGCTTTTGGTGACCCCTGGGGTCTGGCTGCTGCTGGTGAGAGAAAAGTCACGGACCTGAGGCTTGGCTTCTTCTTGGGATCCATTCACAGGGAGCAGCTCCTCCTCTTCTTCCTCTTCTTGTTTCTCTACCTCTTCCTTCTCCCTCTCCTCCTCTTCCTCTTCCTCTTCTTCCTCTTCTTCCTCCTCTCCGGGAGGCATATGCCAGGGAGGCTCAACCAGATTCATCTTGGGCAAGGGAGAGGGGAGGTTTGGCAGCTCTTGAGCCTGGCTGGTGTCTTCAATGGAACCTGCCTTCTCAGTTAAGTCAGGAAAAACATAATCTAAGGACAGAGATGAAAAGTTCATTCACTTGTTTCATCATTTATTGCTTTACTCAATATTTACTGGGCAGATGGCATAAAAGAACCACAATACACTGACGGGGCAGAAGTCATCAGGTCATGACCAAGAGGTGAGGCCAGGGGAGCAGACTGTGGAGGGACACAGGGACAAGGCTAGTCACTGTTTCCTTTATCATGATAAAATAATACAAATTTATCACCAAAACTCAACGAACACAGGAATGTAGAAAGTTTTGTATATTGCATCCCTCCAAAAGAGCCATGAGTAGTTTGAGGTATATATTCTCCACTGTGTTTGTAATGTGCTCGCTTGTCCTCATCCAGGGATTTCACCAAGAAGATCCCACAACAACCCACTAGGAAATGTCCCCCTACTCCTTTTCTAGTGAGTCGTTATGAGAGTCTTCTTGGTGGAGTTCCCGAAGGAGGTCTGACAGCCCTCTCATCACAGAAGTGAGACCCCTCGATTATGACCATTGTTCCTAAACTGTGCTCTTTTTCTGTAATTTAGGCCCAGACAGGAAATGAAAAAGATGTAGGGAGAGCCAGAGAGAGGCCAGGGGCTGAGCCCGGAGGTTTCCAGGGCCTCCCAGAATGTTCAGGGTCACTGTTGGCAGTGGGAGAGGGGATTTTATTCTCCCTGCCATTCTTGGGAATTACATTTTGAAGCAGAGAAGTTAGGAGACTTCCTGGAGATCAGATTGTTTTCTGGCTTTTCAATGAACCCTAGGCCTCTTCCGAATAACTATGTATGAAAGTTACAGAACAAGTTTTTTGGAAATTCATTCAAAATATCAGAAGCTATATCTAGGAAGCAACTTTCATTGGCTGCCATTTTGTTTCAAAATAATAAATATTGTAGTTTTAAAATACTCTTTAGAAAGGGAGTGGTGGGAACACTTTAAGATAGTGAACTAAGGGTATTCATTTACTGCCTCCTCCAAAATTTTTATCAAACGACAAAAGAAAAATTTTAACGGTCAAAATGAAGGTAAAAACATTTTAGAGAAATTTCTGGGAACATGGAAAGCATTTGAGATTATAGGAACAGATAACCCCTCAGCCAACATAAACATAGGAAAAAACAGCAGGGGAGGGCAGGCTTTCTTACCCAGAGTTAGGAAGAGGCACAACTGTGGGAGCAAGGATGCAGAACAAAGGAAATTCAGAGAACAGAAGGTAATTTCAAAAAATCTAATTAGTATCCTCAGAAAGATTCAAAACTATTGCATCCCTAAAACAAGAGGCCACTAAGAAAATCAAGTAATCTTTAAAAAAGAAAAATTTCTTGGATATTGAAAGTTGATTGTTGAAATTTAAAAATTCAGCAGATTGAAAATTCAAATTTTTAATGGCTGGAAAAAAAAAAAAAAAGTCAAGGAAAAGCCTCTAGGGCAAAAGGGAAAAGACAATAGAGAAGAGTTAAAAGATACAGACAACCAATGTAGGAGATCCAATACCTAGCTAATATGATTTCCAGAAAGACAGAAGCAATAAAATGGAGAATAATGGAGAGAAACAAAGAAAAAAAATTTCCAGAGCTGGCAACATGAATCTTCGCATTGAAAGGCTATATCATCAGGGTGAATGATAAAAGGCTCACACCTAGCCTCATTCTCATGTCATTTTAGAATTCTAAGGAGCAAGATAAAATCTTAACAGCTCTCAGAGAAAGAACAGGTTATCTGTAAAGGAATAAGAAACAGATTATCAAATTATCATGAAGCTTCTAATTAATATCAGTAGCCAAGAGGAAGAATTTTAAAATGCATTGAAAAATCTGAGGGATGTTTATTTTGAACCTGAAATTTTATACCCAACTAAACAACTACTCAAGTGTGACTGCAAAATAAAGACATTCTCATACATGCAAAGATTTAAAAGTGTTATTATCTACAGATTCCAAGAGATCTAAGTAAGTTCTCTAAGAAACCCAAAAAAGAAGACATGGGAAATCAAGAAACATGAGAGGAATGTAATGAAAATATATCTCAGGATGGAAACTGTGCAGTAAGTCTGGAAAGCAATTGGTTCAAATTAGAACACAGAGAGAGAGCTCTGAGAAGGATTACTTCAAAAAGAAAAACTGATTCCCTGTCATAAAAAGTATGACTTAGAAGCTGAACAATCCTAGTGACAACTGAAAGCTCACTATAGTATTTACATCAACAATTAGAATATTCTATCCAGTCTACTTCTGTTAATTAGACTTTTTGAGTAGCAGATCCTCCCCCTCTTCCACCTGATGTCATGCTCTGTAGTGAGGTCACTACAGATAAATAAATAAATAAGTAAGAAAGAAAGAACAACCAAGGTTCCCAAGATATTTTAAGAAAGCCAGCCTGATGAAGAAGCATGAGGGTGAGACCGTAAAGCAACTGACCTCTAGGAAGAGTCAGTCTAGTTAACAAAAGAGAATTCAGAAAAGTTTCTTGTTAATATCTTCAGAAAGATTCAGGAGGAAACCACACCCATAAAACAAGTATATAGAAGAATAAAAATATTTTGCTTCAATGTAACAACTTTATAATAGCCAGATCTATTCAAAATTAAAATATAATGCATGAAAACATAACTGAAATGGGTTGGATGATTACTTGATAGGAATACTGGGTAACAGAATAGGAGTCAGATGGGTGCCTAGGAAATACAACATAAATCCCTTACAAGCATATTTCATTATTGGAAGATTAATCTGACAGCAATTTACAAGATTAGGTGAAGGAGGCCGGGCGCGGTGGCTCAAGCCTGTAATCCCAGCACTTTGGGAGGCCGAGGCGGGCGGATCACAAGGTCAGGAGATCGAGACCACAGTGAAACCCCGTCTCTACTAAAAATACAAAAAATTAGCCGGGCACGGTGGCGGGCGCCTGTAGTCCCAGCTACTCAGGAGGCTGAGGCAGGAGAATGGCGGGAACCCGGGAGGCGGAGCTTGCAGTGAGCCGAGATCGTGCCACTGCACTCCAGCCTGGGCAACAGCGTGAGACTCCGTCTCAAAAAAAAAAAAAAAAAAAAAAAAAAAAAGATTAGGTGAAGGAGTAGATGAATGAAAGTTTACAGAAGAGTCAGGGAGTTGCTGCAGTGGTTCAGGAGAGATGCATGGCAGTGACAACACTGGAAATGATGAGAAAAGAGCAGATTTAAGAGATGACTCTGAAGGAGAAGTAATCAGATGTGTGAGCTGGAGGGCCAACAGGAAGAAGCTGCCGGAGTAGCCAAGCCATTAGTAAAGATGGTGAAGTTCAGAGGAAAGGCATATTGGAAACCTTCAAGACGCACTTAAAATAGCTGATGGATTCAATGAAGCCTAGGATATGGCAGGAATATGGTGGATGGTGACACACCCATCAGCAGAATCCCACAGGGTAGGGAGGTCCTGGGAGGGCAAATTGACTAAAACAATCCCTCTACTCAATTTGGTGCTGACTTTCCAAAAGTCAGAGAGAGCACCAACATCTCCAGAGGGCACCAACAGAACTCCCTAAACTGTGTACAGCCTCTTCAGAGATGCATCATCGGTCACACTGTCAGCAACATGATCTGGGACTCAGCCATTAACTTATCTGTGCATGCAGTGGTTGTATCACTGATATTTTGTTTTGTTTTTGAGACGGGGTCTCACTCTGTCACCCAGGCTGGAGTGCAGTGGTGCCATGACAGCTCACTGCAGCCTCAAACTCTGAGGCTCAAGTGATCCTCCTACCTCAGCCTCCCAAGCAGCTGGGACCACAGGCATGTGCCACCACACCCAGCTAATTTTTTTTATTATTTGTAGAGATAGGGTATCTTTACGCTGTGCAAGCTGGTCTCGAACTCCTGAGCTCAAGCAATTCTCCTGCCTCAGCCTCCTGAGTAGCTGGGACTTACTGGCACACACCACCACACTTAGCTAATTTTTTTTTTTTTTTTGAGATGGTGTCTTGCTCTGTCACCCAGGCTAGAGTGTAGTGGCATGATCTTGGCTCAACTGCAACCTCTGTCTCCCAGGTTCAAGCAATTCTCCTGCCTCAGCCTCCCGAGTAGCTGGGACTATAGGCATGCACCACCACGCCCAGCTATTTTTAGTAGAGACGGGGTTTCACCATGTTGGCCAGGCTGGTCTCAAACTCCTGACCTCGTGATCCACCCACCAAGGCCTCCCAGAGTGCTGGGATTACAGGCATGAGCCACCGCACCTGACACCTGGCTAATTCTTTAAAATTATTTGTAGAGATGGGGTCTCCCTGTGTTGCCCAGGCTGGTCTTGAACTCCTGGGCTCAAGCGATCCTCCTGCCTTGGCCTGCCAAAGTTCCAGGATTACAGGCATGAGCCACTGCACCTGGCCTGGGCTTCAGTTTTTATGTGGAATGAAGATGATGGTATATATGATTTCTAAGGTTCTTGATATCGCTGGTATTTTAAGCTTTGGATATAGTTCTGATAAATGTGTCTTATGTAACACAATGGCATTACAAACAACTCTACTGTCTTAAATAAGAATAAAACAGGATTCACTAGATTACAAATTCTTGTTGCCAAGCAAAGTGATTTTCTTCATCCCTACATTCCCAGCACCTAACATAGTGCCTGGTCCAGAGTAGAAAGGAGAGCAATGTGTGTTTGTTGAACTTTTCTGCCTCCTAAACACCAGGGCCTGTGCCTCCAGGGAGTAAGAGGCCCACCTGTCGGCCGGGCGCGGTGGCTCAAGCCTGTAATCCCAGCACTTTGGGAGGCCGAGACGGGTGGATCACGAGGCCAGGAGATCGAGACCATCCTGGCTAACATGGTGAAACCCCGTCTCTACTAAAAAAAAAATACAAAAAACTAGCCGGGCGAGGTGGGGGGCGCCTGTAGTCCCAGCTACTCGGGAGGCTGAGGCTGGAGAATGGCGTAAACCCGGGAGGCGGAGCTTGCAGTGAGCTGAGATCTGGCCACTGCACTCCAGCCTGGGCGATAGAGCGAGACTCCATCTCAAAAAAAAAAAAAAAAAGGAGGCCCA